TCTCACGACGGTCTAAACCCAGCTCACGTTCCCTTTGGTGAATTCTGCTTCACAATGATAAGGGCCATTTTTTTTTTTGGTCTTTTTGTCGGGGGCAATTTTGAAACTCAGCTCAAAACGACTGGCACCGATTCATCGGGATAGGGGCAGTGCGCCAGATAGTCATTCTTTTTTTTTTCTTTATTCTTTTTTTTTTGGGCACGATTGCCACTCGTTTTTAGCTGGGTTCCAAAATCGCACTGTCAGAAAAAAAAAGGCTTTGCGGCGGTGTTTGCACGTCATCATGTCCCAGATCCCACCATGTACCTAGTCGCTTAACCGCCTTCGTACATTCTGACGGCGACCGTTGCATGCTAACTGCGAGCATCTGGAAATCCATTCCTGTCAAAAAAATATGTACTTGGAACGTCTTCATGACCCAGATCACATCATGTACCTACTCGTACAGCCGTCCCAGTACATTCGATCTCCTAAACAATCTCGGAATCCGGCTCCCTGAATTGCCAAGCCCACTCTTCACAGTACATTCTGAGAAGGCAGTTTGGCTAAACGCACCCTTCCCAGTCCAAATTTTCAGTAAACCCCTCCCTCGCTCCCTCCCTCCCTCCTTCCTTTCCTCCTTCCCTCCTTCTCTCCTTCCCTCCCTCCCTCCCTCCCTCCCTCCCTCCCTCCTTGGCATCCAGGGCACCAGCCAAGAACTCCGTCAAAGATCAACCCCTCTGAGAGCTCGATCGCTTAGCGCATATTACTGTCTCTTATACACATCTAGATGTGTATAAGAGACAGCTCTCCTTCCTCTGTCTATCTGGCTGGCTGGCTGGCTGCCTGCCTGCCTGCTTGGCTTTCTGTCTGTCGTTCTCTGTGCTGACAGTGCTAAGTCCTTTTCCGTTATATCTGGGCTGTGGATTGGAGTACCAGCAAACGCTGACAAGGAGAACTCCAACCGCATTTCCTTTTGTCCTTAGATCTTATCTTTATCTTATCTTTATCTTATCTTTATCTTATCTTTATCTTATCTTTATCTTATCTTTATCTTATCTTTATTTCATCTGATCTGATCTGATCTGATCTTCTTTCTTCCACCTCAGAGAGAAGAGGGCCTTACTTACAGAGCCAACAAACACAAGACAAGAACACAAGACACACAGACAGACAGAAAGAAAGAAAGAAAGAAAGAAAGAAAGAAAGAAAGGAAGAAAGAACAGAATGAAATAGTGAAAAAAAGAATGAACAGAGTGAAATAGTGAAAGAAAGAAAGAACAGAATGAAATAGTGAAATAGTGAAATAGTGAAAGAAAGAAAGAAAGAAAGAAAGAAAGAAAGAAGGAAAGAAAGAGCAAAAAGAAAGAAAAGAAAGAAAGACAGACAGAAAGAAAGAAAGAAAGAGCAAAAAGAAAGAAAAGAAAGAAAGAAAGAAAGAAAGAAAGAAAGAGCAAAAAGAAAGAACAGAAAGAAAAAGAAGATGATCTAGGGAGGAGGGGCATGTTAGACAAAGAAACAAAGAGGAAGATCTCACGCATGCATGTGGCCACATAGATCGCCCATTCGTGTTTTTAAGTGGCATTCAAGTTGACATTGCGATTCACTCCCTCCCTTTCACGAAATGGACATCACGGCAAGATCGGATTTTGTATAATTAAAAAAAAAAAAAAAACGGTGGACGTGGCAGGTTTTGAGTTTGCAAAGGGCAAAAAAAAAACCATGCGCCCGCAAAGATATCACCACGTGAGTTTGAAACGGCAATTTTTTTGGGTAGAAAAGAATCCGTTGGGCTTT